TGCTGCTGCTGCTGCTGCTGCTGCTGCTGATTGATGCTGCGGCGCACTGCAGGTCGTACAAACGGCGACAAGCTGGAGACTGCAAAAACAAAAGAATTTAAGACACACGTTTGCTGCTGATAACAGCAGCAGCAGCAGCAGCAGAAGCAGAAGCAGCAGCTGAAGCAGCAGCAGCAGCAGCGGCAGCGCCACCTACAGCAGAAGCAGCAGCATCACAAGGAGGAGGACCTAAAGCAGCAGCAGCAGCAGCAGAAGCTGCTGCTGCTGCTGCTGCAGGAAAATGCAAAAAGGAAAAAATAAAGAGAAATTAAAAAAATAAAATTAAAAATGAGTTAAGCAAATACAATAAAGGGAAAACACAAAAAAAAATAAAGTAAAGAATAAATAAAAAGGATTAAACGAGAATCAAAATCATGAAAAAGAATTAAAAAAATAAACAAAAAAAACAAAAAATAAGAAAAAATAAAAAATAAAAAAAGAAAAGCTGACACTCAGAATGCGGTAGGCGATGTGAATTTGCCTAAACCTGCACGCAGCAGCGAAACGCCACAGTTTTGCTGCTGCTGCTGCTGCTGCTGCTGCTGCTGCCGCTGTGATTGCTTGAACTGCTGCGTTTCTTGCTGCATCTTTCAGTGCTGCTGCGGCGAGTCCTGCTGCTACTGCTGCTGCTTCTGCTTCTGCTGTTGCTGCTGCTGCTGCTGCTGCTGCTGCTGCTCTGCCCTTACACGTCAGACGATCCTCCCTTGTCTGGGTGGTGAGTGGCGGCAAGCCGCATGAAGGCCTGCAACCCAAACCCTAAACCCTAAACCCTAAACCCTAAACCTTAACCTCCAAACGCAAGCTCTCTAGACCTCAATCCCTAAACCCCAACCCCTGAATCCTAAACCCCAAGTAGCCCACAGCCCAGACGCCAAACCCTAAAGCCTAAACCCTAAACCCTAAACCCTAAACTCCTCAAGAGGTCACCTTTCTAATGAGGGTTCCGTCAGCTCTGGCATCGAGATTGAGGTGTCTGTACAGCTCGTAGGGAGTCCCTTCTCCACCCCACACTTCCTCCAGCAGCTGCAGCAACTTAATCCAGTCCCCCTCAGCAGCAGGTGGCCCCTGTTGCTGCTGCTGCTGCTGTTGCTGCTGCTGTTGCTGCCGCTGTTGCTGTGGCGGCGGCGGCTGAAGATGGGTCTGGGGCTGCTGCTGCCGCTGCTGCTGAGGCGGATGGCGCTGAGATTGCTGCTGTCGGGCCCGCTGCTGCTGCTGCTGATGCTGATGCTGCTGATGCTGCTGCTGCTGATGCTGATGCTGCTGATGCTGCTGCTGCTGCTGAAGATCCCGAGGTCTCCTGTTGAATGCGTGCTGCGCGCGCTTTCGGTGTGCTGCTTGCTGCTGCTGTTGCTGCTGCTGCTGTTGCTGCTGCTGCTGCTTGTGCTGCTGCTGCCGCTGCTGCTGCTGATCATGCTGCTGGTGCAGGTGTTGGTGCTGCTGGTGCTGCTGCTGCTGCTGCTGCTGCTGGGTGGTCTCGAGTGCAGCGCGTGTGGAAGTGGTAGGCAGCAGCAAGTGCCCTTTGTGCTCGTGCTGCACCTGATTCTGTTGCTGCTGCTGCTGCTGGTGTTGGTGCTGCTGCTGCTGCTGACAGTAGGCCGGGATGCGACGCATCTCTGCTGCTGCTGCGCCTGCGAGCAACGCAGCAGCAGCCCTTCTTGCTTTTGTCGCTGCAGAGCTGCGTGCTGCCTCTGCTGCCGCTGTTGCTGCTGCTGCAGCTGCTGTTGCAGCGGCTGCTGTCCCTACCGCTGCTGCTGCTGCGTCTGCTGCACCTGCTGCTGCAGCTGCTGCACTGAGTGTTCTCTGTCGAGCTGCTGCTGCAGGTGCTACTAGGGCACCAAGGGCTGCAGCAGTGCAGGCAGCAGCAGCTCCTCTTGCCCTCCTTGCTGCAGCATACTTGGACTTTTGCATTGCGCTCTTAGCTGCTGCTGTTGCTGCTGCTGCTGCTGCTGCTGCTGCTTCTTGACTTGCAGCTGCTGCACCTCCCACTAGTTATGCTGCAGCTCTCGCCGCATGCAGCGCCTGCGAAGAAGTTGGAAGAGTCTTTTTAATTAATTCTAAAAAGCAATTTTTGCTTTTTTGGAGTAGATGAGGAGGCAGGGTCTCTGTCTGTACACTTGAGGAGGTGTCAGGCGCTGCGGCGGTTTGGAGCCCCGCGGAGTCGGCAGAGGAATTTGTCGAGAAGAGAAAATAAAATTAATGAAATAGAAATCCAAATTGTTTTTAACATGTAATTAACTGTTTTTGTCCGAATAAAAATTATTCGGAAGAAAACTGCGCGCTGCGCGCGGCCGCGTGCGCCGACCCCAGCGCGAGTGTCCACGTGACCAGTGGTCCACTGGTCACGTGGCATGAACTGCAACAGACCCAGCGGGACTTTTGCGAGATTTCCCCGCAAATGTTCACCTATTTAAGGAATTTATTCAGTTGAACTGCTTTTCTTGCAAAAATGTATAATAAAACAACCATTTCAAGGCGCCATTGCGCCCAGCCACGTTCGGGCCGTGGGAGCGAGCCCCCAAACGAGGGAGGAGGGGGCTTCGTGGGACTAAAAAACTGAATTGATAACTCTTCTGCGCATTTATTCAATCATTTTAATTCAAGAATTAACTTGTATTGTTCTGCTTTTTCACTTCAATTCAGCATTTGATCGGGCTTTCCGCGCGCCCCTTTCGGCGCTGCGGCCTGAGTCCATGATGCACCTTGGCTGAACCTGTTGGCTTTTCGCCCCTGCTGGACCTTCGCCGCGAAAATCTGAACTATCACTTTTGAAAGAAGAGTTTTCTTGCAGACCTGTTTGAACCTTCAGCGTTTACTGTTTTATTTCCGTTTCGCGGGCTGGACCTGGTTTCTCTTTTTCAGCTTTCGTTCCCGCGGCTTCGCGCCGCGCGCCGCGCTCCCTGCGGGGAAGCGAAGTGGTGCAAAGAGGAATCTTTCAAAAGAGGCGCCAGTTCTTTCGTTCCAATTGCTTCGCTGAGTTGTTTTGCAGTTTTGTCTGCGCCGAAGCTGTTCAAAGCGAGCGAAAGCCGCACCGCCGTTTCCGGAAACACTTCCGTCGCGCGACTTGCAATCGAGCCGTCGCCTGCACGCAAACACACCCGAAAGCGCCCGATCTTCGCGCAAAATGCAAATCAAAGTGATGGAAAAGGAATTAATTTGCAAAAAATAACAAAGAAAGGAAAAAGAAATGCATTTTCCCCGAAGATTCCGCGAAAGCGGAGGCGGAAGACGAAAAGTTGAATTTCCGGCGCGCGCAAGTGCGGAAGTTGAACTTCGCGCATTTCAGGTGAATGAAAGCGGAATCAATTCGAATTTTTCGCTTAATTCTTGAAATTAATTAAAAGCTTTTGAATGAAGTCGAAAGAATTGGAAAAGAAGGACTAAATTGGCGGACTGCTGGCAACTTCGTCGAGCGTTTCGGCGAAAGCCCCCGCGGCGCTCAGCGCGTCCTCCGTGCTCGCCAGCAGCCGCCACGCCTCCGCGTTAAATCCAACTCCTTCTTTTTCTGCTTCTCGTTGGATTCTGTGGAGCATTCCGAGGAGCTGGTCGAGGTTATCTGCGAGCATTTCGCTGTGCCGCAGCAGCTCCAGCAGCAGGGCTTCTTGCTGCTGCTGCTGCGCTGCAGCAGCAGCAGCGGCGGCGGCGCCGCGCCGCGCGCTGCTGCTGCGGCGCTCGCTCAGCTCCTTTGCTGCAGACAGCACTGAAGACAGAGCAGCAGAATCCACGGAGAGGCGGCTCCAGTTTACGGACTCTTCCAGGCGTTCGGAGAGCCACTTCGCCTGCTTCTGCTGCTGCGCCTCGGCCCTTGCTGCTGCTGCTGCTGCTGCGGCGGCGGCGGCGGCTGGGCCCGCGCGGGCTGCTGCAGCTGCTGCTCCTGCTGCTGCTGCAGCAGCTGATGCTGCCAGACTCTCCTCTTGGAGGAGTCGGGCCAGGCGCACAAAGCCGGAGTCTTGGGGAGGAACAGAAAAGGCAGCAGAATCTGCAGGCTGCAGCAGCAGGTGCGAGTGCTCCTCCTCCTGCTCCCGCCGCTGCTGCTGCTGCTGCTGCTGCTGCTGCTGCTGCTGCTGAGCCCTTTGCAGCCTACCTGCGTAGGAAAGCGGCAGCAGCACCTGGGATTGGTGAGAGGAAGATGTGAAGGAAGCAAAACAGAAAAAGATTAGAAATAACTGCGAAGGGAAAAAAGGGAAAAGAACCATTTTGACTGCCGGGTGGCCAGCAGCACCCGACCGGCGCTGCAGTCCCAGAATTCAGAAGCTGCAACCTTCAACCAACCAAACAAAATAAAATTAAAATGTTATTTTGCCAGTTTATTTTAATAAAATTCCCTTTTGAGTCCGCAGCAAACGCGCACAAGTGCCCACATGCCACAGCGGCGCTTCGGTCGCAGCAGCAGCAGCAGCAGCAGCAGCAGCGAGCGCGGCGGCCAGGCAGAGTCCGCGTGAAATGAGAAGGTGAATTTGTTTATTACGAATTAAAAATGTAAAATTGAACTAATTTCATTTAAATTTAAGGTTTATTTGCAATTAATGCATGCGGTTTTGCGGAACTCCACGCCTCTTGCTGCGGTGACCTGCGAGTGACCCAGCCAGAGCCATTGGAGAGGGGGGCATTTGCTCGCGTGTGTTTGGCATTTTAGTGTTTTAAATTCGTTTATTTTTTATTTTTAAAATGAAATATAATTTTAAATAATATTTAAAACTCTTTTTGCTGCTTTTGCACTCCGCTGCAGCAGCGCCGCCGCATCACTCGCCTCTATTCAAGTTGCTGAGCAGCTCTTCATTCTTTTCATCCTTTGATGGTCTTTTATTCTTTTTTCACTTCTTTTTCTTTTCCTTCTTTTATTTTCTATTTTTATGCTAATTTAAAATGTAAAAGGAAATAAAAAGCAAAAGAAAGGAAATTCGAGACAAATTGATCTTGTGAAGTGCTGCTTGAAATGCATGCTGCGGCTTTGCAGCAGTTCTTTTCTTCATTTTGCAAAACAATTTTAGGCTTTCTTCTTTTCAAAAAGTTCTTTTTATAATTTTTGCTGCTTCTTAATTAATTTTTATTCAACATTGCAGTAGCAATAAAAGAATTCGAAGACTTGTGGGCAAAGCAGCAGCGGGTGCACTTCCTCCAGCAGCAGCAGCAAAAGCAGCAGCAGCTGCTGCTGCTGCAGCAGCAGCAGCAAGAGTGGCAGCACCTCGCAGCAGATGCAGAGTTAAATAACTGTTGCAGGGATCTGCGTGCGCAGTCTTTAGGTCTCAAGACAAAAAGAAAAACCTTTTAGAAAAGTTTCAGAATATCTTTTTGAACTTGAGAGAATTTAAAGTTAAACAGCTTTAGAAGATACGCAGAAGCAGAAGCATCAGCTAAACTAGCTGCTGCAGTGCATGCAGAAGCGGGCCCCAAGACAACCCGATTTGCTGCTGCTGCATGCTGCAGCAAACTGCTGTTGCTTCAGCTGCTGCTGCTGCTGCAACTCCTGCTGCTGTAGCTGCCGGTGCTGCTGCAGCTGGTGCTGCTGCAACTGTTGTTGCTGCAGTTGCAGCTTCTGTTGCTACAGCTGTTGCTGTTGCAGCAGCAGCAGCGACAGAACCAGCAGCAGCAACACCAGCTGCAGCAACAGCAGCAGCAGCAGCAGCAGTAGCTGCTGCTGCTGCAAGTTTCTCTTTTTCCCTTTTCCTTCTGCTCCTCTTTTTTAAAAAAATAACTTTTTAATTTGCTTTAAAAAGCCTCAGGCAGTTGGGGCTTTCTCTAGGGCTGTCCGAAACTAATTAAATAAACGAGCAGCAGCCAGCCACAGCTAGCTGCAGCCAGCCACAGCTAGCTGCAGCCAGCCACAGCTAGCTGCAGCCAGCCACAGCTAGCTGCAGCCAGCCACAGCTAGCTGCAGCCAGCCACAGCTAGCTGCAGCCAGCCACAGCTAGCTGCAGCCAGCCACAGCTAGCTGCAGCCAGCCACAGCTAGCTGCAGCCAGCCACAGCTAGCTGCAGCCAGCCACAGCTAGCCATTGCTTCCTACAGTTAGGGATGGCTAGCTGCAGCCAGCCACAGCTAGCTGTGGCTGTTACAGCTAGCCGCGGTTAGCTGTGGCTAGCTGTGGCTAGCTGGTAGGAATAATGCGCCTTCTCAGCTAGCCAAGGGCAGGCAGCATTGCAACAGCAGTAGCATTAGCAGCACCAGCAGCAGCAGCAGCAGCAGCGGGAGCAGCAACTGCAGCAGCGGCAACGGCTGCAGCAACGCCTGCAGCAACGGCGAAAGCTGCTGCCTTCTTCTCATCTCTGCTAACAACATATAAGCGCTGAGGTGCTACATATGATTCGCAGTTTAAGATTCACTCTTTAGGGTTTAGGGTTTAGGGTTTAGGGTTTAGGGTTTAGGGTTTAAGGTTTGGGGGTTAGGGATTAGGGTTTGGGGATTTAGGCCAGCTAGAGCTCCAAACCAAAAATGCTTGAGCTTTAAAGTTCGATTTGGGGTTTGCCTTCAACAGAGATAATGTGCTTGCTTCAAGGTTTAGGATTAGCTAAGTTTTATATAGGGTTTACGGCTTAGGGTTTAGGGCTTAGGGTTTAGGGTTTGGTGTGTATGTGTCCAGTGGAGAGCCGGTTGAGCGGTGGAGTGACCGGCCCATAGGCTTTCGTACTTTCCTTCCCCAATTTGAAATAAATGAAAAATAAAATTAAAAATAAATAAATAGATTAAATAATTAATTAGACACAAGGAAAAAGAGCCTCTAAGCAGCTTCAGCTTCAGCAGCAGCAGCAGCAGCAGCAGCAGCAGCTATCGAGAGGCCCGAGCATGAGGGCTGAATCAGCCATTTCCCTGGAGCTTATCTCCTTTTTATTATTTATGAAGTTGACAAAAATAAATTCAAGGGATTAAATCTATTTTATTCTGAGTTTAGGGCTTAGCGTTTAGGGTTTAGGGTTTAGGGTTTAGGGATTGGGGTTTGCGCAGCCGACACGGTGACACCTCGAAGTGTCTGTACACCTCGAAGGCCTCGAGATGACCCCAACGCCAAACCTTCAGCTCTAGACTTTTCACTTTTTCTTTTCTTTGCAATTTTTAATTCCATTTTGAAGAAAAAACACAGGCTTATCACTCTACAGCCCAGGAGCAGCAGCAACAGCAGCAGCAGCAGCAGCAGCGGCCGCAGCAAAGCAGCAGCAGCAAACGCTGGAGCAGCACAACAAAACACCTTAAAGACAGCTCAAGTTCCACTGCAGCAGCAGCAGCGTGGGCACATAGCGAGGCGGGACAAAGTTAAGGGTTGAGCGGTAACAGCAGCAGCAGCAGTAGCAGCAGCAACAGTACCAGCAGTTGCGGCACCGATAGTAGCTACAGCAGGTGCAGCAGCTGCAGCAGCTGCAGCGGCAGCAGTAGCTGCAGCGGCAGCTGCTGCAGCAACAGCATCTCCGGCGACTGCAGCAGCAGCAGCAGCAGCAGCAGCAGCAGCTCCACAAACAGCAGCAGCAACAGCAGCAGCACCAGCCGCAGCAGAAACAGCAGCTGCAGCAGCAGCAGCTTCCGAAAGATGGCTGGTCTATTCCACTTCTGCTGCGCCACAACAGCAGAAGCACCCAGAGCTGTGGCAGCAGCAGCAGCAACGGCAGCATCAGCAGTAACAGCAGCAGCAACAACAGCATTGGCCTCAAACTTAGCAGCAGCAGCACAAGCTCAGGAAGCACATAAACAGCTGGCATCGAGAGAAACAGAAAGACCACTAGCAGCAGCAGCAGCACGAGCAGCAGCACAAGCAGCCGCAGCCACACCAGCAGCAGCAGCAGCAGCAGCCGCAGCAGCAGTGGTGCAGGCCCGTGGGTCTTACGTCCGCGACACTTTTCGATTTGTTCGATTTGCTGCTCTTCTGTTTTTGTTTTTTGCTGCTTGTCTTTTGCCAGTTTTATCTCCTAGGCAGGCTGGGGGGACTGAGCTGGCAGCAGCAGCAGCAGCAGCAGCAGCAGCAGCAGCGGCAGCGTCAGCAGCAGCAGCGCCTGCTGCCTCCTTCATTCTTTTTGCTGCTGCTGCTGATGCAGAAGAGCTGCTAGAGGCCCACAGCGACTTGCTGTCTCTGGCTTTAGAAAGCAGCAGCAGCAGCAGCAGCAGCGCAGCAGCAGCAGCAGCAGCAGCAGGCGAGTTCAACCAGGTTGGCGCTGCTGCTGCTGCGCTGCTGGCAGCAGATGAAGAAGCGGATCCTTATGAGGGGCCCTTCGAAGAGACAGAAAGAGAAAAAGAGCTGCTGCTGCCTCCGGAGGATGCAAGTGCTGCTTTGCTGCAACAGTGGCTGCAGCAGGAAGAAGAACTAGCGCCTCCTGTTGCTGCTCCTGCTGTTGCTGCTGCTGCTGCTGCTGCTGCTGCCGCTCCTGCTCCTGCTGCTGCTGCTGCTGCTGAAGAAGAAGAAGAGGAGCTGCTGGAGGAGACAGTTCACGAGCTGCCGGCCCCCGTAGGTGTATATACACCTCAGAAAGAAGAGACTGCAGCAGCAGCAGCAGCAGCAACAGCAGCAGCAACAGCAGCAGCAGCAGCAGAAGAGGAAGAAGAGGAAGCAGAAGAAGCAGCAGCGCCTCCCGTTTCTCCCAATTTCGAATGGGTGCCCCCCAAAACCCTGGACCCTAAACCCTTAACCCTAAACCCTAAACCCTAAACCCTAAAGTAAAATTGCTCCCGACTCGTTTTTATAACTCTATTTATTTGTTTGTTTACTCTATTTAATTTTTTTATCTCCCAAATTTATTTGTTTATTTATTTATTTATTTATTTTTTAAAACTACTTTGCAAATAGTCAAAAAGCCAATTAAGCCCTACCTCTATATATTTTTTGTTTGTTTTTTCCTTTGAATTTAATTTTGAATCTAATTTTAATTTTAATTAGTTTAAATTAATTTTAAATTAATTTTGATTTATTTAATTTTAATTTATTTCTATTTTTATTTCTTTTAGAATCCTCCGTTGCCTTCTTCGAAATTAATTCTGGTGGAGCAAATTGCAGAAAACTTTAATTTGAAAAAAAATGAAAAACCCCTCGACCTCGCGGCCTTTCAGGTACAAACCCTAAACCCTAAACCCTAAACCCTAAACCCTAAACCCTAAGCTTCAAGCCCTAAGCCCCCATCGATGAGTCTTTGGCTGTGTGCTCTCTGCGGAAGTGAGTGCTCGGTGCAGCGCAGCATGTGCAACTTTCTTTACGGTTTAGGGTTTAGGGTTTAGGGTTTAGGGTTTAGGGTTTGGGGTTTGTGGTTTAGACTGCGGTTTGTCTGCGTGAGTTTCTGGAGGAAGCTTACAGCAACTGGGACTTGCTGCTGCAGCAGAGCTGCAGCAGCAGCAACCAGCTGTTTCCCTCCTATTACCTAGTCAACAAGCAGCAGCAGCAGCAGCAGCAGCAGCAGCAGCAGCGAAATCGTGTGCCTCTTGCTGCTCAATCTGCTTTTGTGGTTTATCCCCTTTTGGCTTCTTTATACAAAGTGAGTTGAGCAGCAAGTTAAGGTGTACATACACCTCGCTGCTGTAATCTCCAGACTCCTTTTTGTGGCTCCAAAGGCCTGCTGTTGCTGCTGCTGTCGCTGCTGCTGCTGCTGTCGTTGCTGATGCTGCTGCTTCTGCTACTGTATATGCTGCTGCGGTTGGCACTGCTGCTTCTGCTGCTGCTTCTGCTGCTGCTACTGCTGCTACTGCTGCTGCTGCTGCTGTGTGTTTCAGATGTTCGGGGAGCTGTCAGCAGCAGCACAGCTGGCAGTTGCTGCTGTTGCTGCTTTTTTAAATGGAAAAGAATTGCTGCTGATTCCTGCTGCTATCATTCCCATGGAGGTGTACGTACAGCTGGCTGCCCCACACTTGCCGGAGCTGCAGCAGGAGGCGCCAGACAGCAGCAGCAGCAGCAGCAGCAGCAGCAGCAGGGAGCGGCAGCGGCTGGCCACTTTGCTGCGAGGGTTTGCGCTGAGGGTTTTGGACTCCGTAAACCCTCGCTCGCCCCTAACCCTAGCTGACAAAGAAGCCGTCCAAACCCTTTCCAAAACCCTAATGCAAACCCTAGCGGATCCGCTAAACCCTCGAGAGAGTGGCTGGCTGCAGCTTGCTGCTGCTGCTGCAGCACAGGGGCTGCCGGGATTTAGGCTTCCCAGTGAGCTGCAGCCCTTGCTGCTGCTGCTGCTGCTGCTGCTTCAGCTTAAATTTAACATTGTCAAATTTACTTTTGCTGCTTCTTAATTCGAATAGTTAATTAATTACTTTTTTTGAGGCTGATGTTGCTGCTGCTGCTGCCGCAGTTGCTGGTGCTGCGGTTGTTGTAGCTTTTGCTGTTGCTGCTCCTGTTGCCGCTGCTGTTGCTGCTGCTACTGTGCTTCTGCTGCCACTGTGCTTCTGCTGCTGGTGCTGCTGCTAAAGTGCTTTTGCTGCTGCTGTTGCTGCTGCTGCTGCTGCTGCCCTAATTTGCAGCAAAAAGCAAAGATAATTGGCCATTTATCTATCAAGCATTTAATTGCTGCATCACCCCTGCGCCGAAACTCTTTTCTTTTCCATTTCTTATCCTTTATCATTTATCATTTATTTATTATTTATTCATTTATTATTATTTATTTATTTATTCATTCATTTATTTATTTATTTATTTATGCATTTATTTATTTATTTATTTATCTTTTGCTGCAGCGCCGGACTTCAACTCTGCGCTGCGGCTGACGCAGCAGGCGAGGGAAATGTCTCGGCGGATAAATCTGTTTATGGAAAAAGAAGGACAAGTAAATAAATGAATAAATAAATAAATAAATAAATGCATAATTAATTAAATTAAATAATAAATAAACAATTAATTGCTTTTGCTGCTGCAGCAAATGGCAGAAGTACACTCGCGAATTCGAGAGAAAGAGCAGCAGCAAAGGGAGGCACTTGCTGCAGCAGCAAAGCCCCAGCTGCTTCCCTCCCCAGCAGCAGCAGCAGCTGCAGCAGCAACAGAAGCTGCTGCTGCTGCTGCCGGTGAGGAGGCTGTTGCTGCAGCAGAGGCGGAAGAGGAAGAGGAAGAAGAAGAAGAAATAAAAATTGAAGAAGAGACAAAAGAGGAAAAAGAAAAAGAAATTAAAAAGGAGCTTTTAAAAGAAATAAAAGAAGAACCTGCTAAAGAGACAAAAGGGGTATTATTTCAGCTGCTGCCAGTTTGTTGCTGCTGCTGCTGCTGTTGTTATAGCTGCTGCTGCTTCTGTCAATGCTGCTGTTGATTAGTGTGCACTCGGTGCTGCTGCTGCTTGTGCTGCTGTTGCTGCTTCTGCTGCTGCTGCTGCTGCTGCATGTTTTGCTGCTGCTGCGGTGGCCTTGCTGCAGAAGGAGACGAAGCTGTCTCTTGGGGGAGCAGCAGCAGCAGCAGCAGCAGCAGCAGCATTCAAGCGCGCTGCAAGAAAAGCCAAAGAAAAGAAGACAGCTGCAGAAAAGCAAAAAGAGGAATTAAAAGAAATAAAAGAAAAAGAATTGAAAGAAGAAAAAGAAATAACAGAAAAAGAAAAAGAAATAAAAGAAATTAAAGAAGCTGAGAGAGAAGAAGCAGAAGAAGAAGAAGAGATAAAAGAAGAAGAAGTAAAAAAGGAAAAAGAAAAAGAAATAAAAGAAGAAAAAGAAATAAATGAATTAAAAGAAAAAGAAATAAATAAAGAAAAAGAAAAAGAAATAAATAAAGAAGTGGAAGAAGCTGAGAAAGAAGAAGCAGAAGAAGAAAATGAAATGGAAGAACTCGAAAATGAAAGAGAAGAAAAAGAATTAAAAAAAGAATTAAAAGAAGAAAATAAAATAAATGAAGAAAAAGAATCAAAACCAGAACAAGAAACTGGCGAAGAAACGGGAAAAGGCAGCAGCAAAACTGCCGCTGCTGCTGCTGCTGCAGCTGCTGAAGACACACTCGCGGATGAACTCGAAGAGCAGGAAGAGGAAGCAGCAAACATAACAAAGGAGGAGGTAAACTGCAGCAGCAGCAGCAGCAGCTGCAGCAGCAGCAGCAGCAGCAGCAATAGCAGCAGCAGAAGCAGAAGCAGCAGCAGCATATTGACTTATCCTTTTATTTTATTTGAATTATTTTTTGTTTTCCCTTTTAGATATTTCTCTTCTCTTATTTCCTTCTATCCTATCTCTTTTAATTTTTCTTCTTTTGTCTTTTTTACATTTTTTTCTTTTTTATTTTTTCCCCTTTTTTTTCTTTTTGTCCTTTTGTCCCTTTTAGCTTTCCTTTTATTAGGGTTTTGTTTTATTTTGCTTTGAGCTCTCCTGCTTCTTCTAGGGTTTAGGGTTTAGGGTTTAGGGTTTAGGGTTTGTGGCGCCTTTGCAGGGTCCAGAGGAAACACCAAAGCAACTCTGCGATGGCTGGAAGCCCCCCACCCCGGATGCCGTGAATACAAGGGTTTAGGGTTTAGGGTTTAGGGTTTAGGGTTTAGGGTCTGTGGCTTGTTCGTTTATTGTTCCTTCGGGCTCCCTTTTAGAGATTCTTGAACAAGAAAATAAGGAGTAAAGAAAATGGATTTTCATGCGACAAGTAAAAAATAAACTACTTATTTATTTATTTATTTATTTATTTATTCTTTTTTTTTCTTGCTGCTGCAGGTTGAGCTGCTGCACGAGAACCTGAGGCGGCTGGAGCGCGAGTTCAATGCGCTGCCCAGCAGCAGCAGCAGCAGCAGCAGCAGCAGCAGCAGCAAGAGGGCCTTCATTGAAAAGGCAGCAGCAGCAGCAAAAGAAACAGAAATTAGAATTAGAGGAGCTGCTTGGGGAGACTCTTTTGATCTTCTCCTCAGCAGCCTTCCCGGAGACTCCGAATTTAAAAGAGAACTCAAAAACCAACGTAAACCCTAAACCCTAAACCCTAAACCCTAGGGAGCTTCAGCATTAAGCCTGAAGCATGCGGCGTTGCCCCTGACCCTAAACTCTAATTGCGAAACCCTAAGCCCCGTAAACCCTAAACCCTTGACGCCATAAGCGCTAGACCTAAACCCTAAACCCTAAACCCTAAACCCTAAACCCTAAACCCTAATTTTGTGTTTTGCGTTTAGTGCTGGAGATGAACAAGATCGAGGCGGAGCTTTTGCGGCTTTCTGAGGTGTACGTACAGTCGCAGGGGGACTTTGGGAAAAGACGAAAAGAGGAAAAAGAAAATAAAAAGAAAAAGAAAAAGAAAGAAAAAGAAAAAGAAAACAAAGAAGCAAAAGGTCAAAAAGAAGAGAAAGAAATGGAGGATAAAAGCCCGCAGCAGCAGCAGCAGCAGCAGCGGCGCAAAGACAAAGCAGCAGCAGCAGCAGCAGCAGCAGCAGCAGCAGCAGCAGCAGCAGCGCTGCAGCAACTCGCCAAAGCAGCTTTTCTGGGTCTCAAAAGAATCAAAAGCTTCATTAGCTGCTGCAACAAAAACAAAGACAGCAGCAGCAGCAGCAGAAAGGGCTGGGGTTTAGAAAAAGAACAAATCGGAAAAGAATTTAATCCAAACCTCGCTAAAAAAGCGCTCAAAATCCTCCGAAAAGGTACGCAAACCTCAAACCCTAAACCCTAAACCCTAAACCCTAAAATCGCCCTCAAAGTCCTACAAAGCGCTCCGCAAACTCGAAGCTCTAAACCCTAAAAAAATCCACCTAAATCTTACGAAAAGTTCCCCAGACCCTAAACCCTAGGGTCTGCGGCTCTCAAACGCATGCAAAAGGGTCCACAAACCCGACACCTAAACACAAAACTCTAAAGCCTAAATCCCAAACCCTGAGGCCCTCGAAACCCTCCGGAACACAAACCCTAAACTCTATACCCTAAACCCTGAATGGTCAAAGGCATTTCGTTGAAAACCCGCAAAGAAATGCGGGAGCTGCCATTGCGAGGATCCAGGATCTAGGGTTTAGGGTTTAGGGTTTGGGGCTTGTGTTTTTGTGGCCGCAGCTGAGGGACGCAAAAAGGCTGAAAACAGGAAGCGGCTCTTAGATAAATTAAGGGTAGGGTTAAGGGTTTAGGGTTTAGGGTTTGGGAACCAAGATCTCAGAGCTAGGGCTTAACGCAAAGAAACTAGGGTTTAGGGTTAAGGGTTTAGGGTTTAGAATTCACGATGTACTTCGATGTTCAGGAATGTGTTACTGGCAACGTCAAAACTTTCCAAGGTACGTCTTCAAACCCTAAACCCTAAACTCCAAACCCTAAACCCTAAACCCTATAGCCTTGTAAGGTGTGTTTTGCTTTTTTTGCAGAAATGCAACAAGGAAACCCTTTGATCTATCCGACGCCGAACGGTGCATTTCTAGGGTTTAGGGTTTAGGGTTTAGGGTTTGAGTCCAAGGCGCACTTTGCTGATAATGTAGAGGGGGGTTCGCGTTCCTTTGAGCGCCGTCCAGTCTGTAGGGTTTAGGGTTTAGGGTTTAGGGCTTAGGGTTTTTCAGATAACAGAGAGTACGTTCCTGGGGTTTAAGAGCAGCTCTGCTGAAACTCTGCCACTTTCTCCGTGTGAAAGCTAGGGTTTAGGGTTTAGGGTTTAGAGTTCATATTTGGGGGTTTAGGGTTTAATCCAAGCGCCGCTCAGTTTGCAGTTGAAGGCCTAATGACTAAAGGGGCTCCCGCGCCCGAAAGCTAGGGTTTAGGGTTTAGGGTTTAGGGTCTAGGGTTTAGGGTTTGTTTGGTGTTCAGATTTTTTCAAGGCTTCTTCTTGTTTGTTTCACCGGCAGTTTTTGGCACTGCGGCTTAAAGACAGAGAAGAGGCTTTGTCTCTTTCTCTAAACCCTAATGTTTCTTTCCAAAACCCTAAAACCCTAAACCCTAAACCCTCGCTCGTTGAAATTCGAAAACACCAAGAATCCAAACCCCTGCAGATGGACGAGTTGGTCGAGTTTGCCTTGAGACGAAGAGGTCCGCAAACCCTAAACCCTAAACCCTAAACCCTAGCTTTCAGATGGGGGAAGCTGCACAGCTAAACCCTAAACCCTAGACCCTCGCATTTGGCTTTGATTCCTATCCCTCCAGTCCTAGACCGTAGTCGCTTTGTGGCCCCCCGAAACCTCGAACCCTAAACCCTAAACCCTAGATTTCGGAGGATGAACCCTTAGCTCACTTTCTTGCGCCGTAAAACCTAAACTCTAAACCCTAAACCCTGAGGTGTTTTGCATGCATGCGAGTTTAGTGTCTCTGGACGAAGTGGCGGCGTACTTGGAAGTGATAAAGGGTTTAGACTTGTCTGCTGCTGTTGCTGCTGCTGCTGCTGCTGCTCCTGCTGACCGGGAGCAGCAGCTAGCGGAGCTGGCGCGGGAGTTTGCTGAATTGGAGCAGCAGCAAGCAGCAGTAAAAGAGGAAAAAAAGGAGAAAAAAGAAGAAAAGAAGAAAGAAAAAAGAAAAGAATCAAAAGAGGAGAAAAAAAGAGAAAAAGAAATGCAAAAATCAAAAAAAGAAATTCCAGAAATGCCACAAAACCGCCAGTTGCAGCTTTTTGCTGTACGTACACTCCAAGCTGCAGCGCTGCCACCCCACCAAATGGCCTGGGCTCTTTACGCGGGTAATATTTATTTATTTATTTTTAATTTTTTTTAGTTCTTTTAATTCATTTTTAATCCATTTTAATCAATTTTTAAACCAATTTGAGCCTTTTCATTCACCAAGGGCTTTGGTCAAGTTAATTGGAATTTGTAATCAGCAATTCATTCAAAAATTGAAATTTTGTGACGAGTAATTGCGGAGTTGTGATTTATTCTCGCGAGCTTATTCTAATCAATTAATTAATTAATTAATTAATTAATTAATTAACTGACTACTTAATTAATTAATTAATTAACTGACTACTCAATTAATTTATTAATTATATAAATATTCATTTAAGTGATTTGTTAATTGATTAATTAATTGACTAATTAATGGGATTAAGGAATCAATTTAATTCGTTTAAAAAATTAGTTAATTACTTAGTTTGTCCCCCTTCGTTTCTTTTGCTGGGTAGCTGCTTTTATTCTTTTTTATTAAATTTACTTTAATTTGATTTGATTTAATTAATTTTATTTTGTGAATTTCAATCGATTTTATTTAATTTGATTTGATTTCATCTCCGTTTTGCTGCTAAATCCTGCCGTTTGTTTTTTCTCCTATTTTTCCCTGTGTCTTTCTTTCAATTCTTTAGGGTTTAGGGTTTAGGTTTTAGGGTTTACTTGGCAAATGCAAACCCTAAACCCTAAACCCTAAGCCCTTAATCGCATTCTTCTATTCTTTGTTCATTTGTCTTTTGCTGCTCAGGCATACGAGAGTCGCTAGTCCGCGCAGTATCTGCTGCTGCTGCTGCTCCTGCTGCTGCTGCTGCCTCGGGTAGTGCTGCTGCTGCTGCTGCTGCTGCTCTGGCGGCTCGTGCTGCTGCTCTTTGCCTGTCTCCTGCGATGCTGCTGAAGCTACAGCAAGCAGCAGCAGCAGATCCTTTTTTTAAAAACAAAAAAGAGGAAACGGCAGCAGCAATGGAACAGGCAATGAAAGAAGGTAAAAATAATTTTTTAAAATAATTTTTGCAAAAAAGAAATTCAAAAAAGAAATACTTTTAACTCCCTTTTCCTTTTCTCTTTTTCTCCTTATTTGCCTCCATTTTATCTTTCTTTTGACTTTTTTTTGGATCGTTTTGATTTTTTTTTGAATCTTTAAAAATTGAATCTTTTCTGTCTTTTCATTTCTACTTTTTTGTCTTTTTAGTTGTGTCATTTTGTCTTTTTATTTATCCCTTTTTGTCTTCTTAATTATCTCTTTAATTTTCTCCTTTTTGATTTTCTTTATTCCTTCTTTTGGTCTCTTTTATCACTTTATTTGTCACCTTTTGTCTCTTTTTTGTTTCCTTTTGTCCATTCATTGGTCTCCTTTCGTTTTATTTTATTTTATTTTATTTTATTTTTCATTTTTGTTTTCCATTTTTATTTTCAATTTTTGTGTTCAGCAAAATCTGTTTCCAAAGAAGAAAGAAAAAAATGCAAAGCCAACAATTTGCTGCTCCAAAGACTCAAACCTGCCAGTAAGCAGCAGTAGCAGCAACAGCAGCAGCAGCAGCAGCAGCATTGCAGCAGCAGCAGCAGCAGCATCGACATCAGCTGTAGCATTAGCATCAGCAGCAGCAGCAGCAGTAGCAGCCACAGCACTGCAACAGCATTGCAGCAGCAGCAGCAGTAGCGGCTGCAGCACTGCAGCAGTAGCAGCAACAACACTGCAGCAGCAACGGCATTGCAGCAGCAGTAGCTGCAGTGGCGTTGCAGTAGCAGCAGCAGCATTAGCAGCAGCAGCGGACTGTTGTTGGTGGATGAACGCTGCGCCGTGCCTATCCCTTGAAGGTGTTAGGGTTTAGGGTTTAGGGTTTAGGGTTTATGGGTTTCGTTTTGTGCAGTTCTGCAAGCACTGGCAACTGCTGCGGCACTGGGCGGCGAGGGTGTAGGGTTTAGGGTTTCTGTTAAACCCCGAAAGCAGCCGCAGCAGCAGCAGCAGCTGCAGCGGCAGCAGCAGCAGCTGCAGCAGCAAGCAGCAAAAAGGATTGTTCGCCAAACCCTAAAATGCATGCACAAAGAGACAGCTGATTTGCTGCTGCGTCTTTTAACGCAAAACAATTATATCCACATGGAAGAACTAATCCGAAAAGAATGTAAACCCTAAACCCTAAACCCTAGACATTAAGGATCCCTAGTAAACGGGCAGTCAGTTTGCTGCTGCATCTTTCGTTTAAGTCCCAATTGGAAACACTTGTCAGCCCTAAACCCTAAACCCTAAACCCTAGCAAACCCTAGGCCCTCCAAAGCCGCTAAACCCTAAACCCTTTCACCGACGGCACATCACCGCCAAGCATCTGGCAAAATAAATAAATAAATAAATAAAATTATGATTTATTATTTAATTTAATTAATTAAAGTATTTATTTATTTATTTATTTATTTATTATTTATTTTTGATTTCAGACCAAAGACAAGTGGCTTCTCGGGTGTCTGTACAGCCTGCGGCGAAGCTTTTCCGGTTTTTGCAAAAGGAAATTATTTCCAGTTTTTCATTTTTGTTTTTAATTCAAAAAGAAATTGAAAAAGAAAAAAAGACAAAAAGTGAAATTAAATCCTCTAAAGCACTTTCTCCAAACTTGAAGTTCTTTTCTTCTTTTTGTTTCTCTTTTTTGCTTTTTTCTGTTTCTTCTTTTTTTTCTTTTATTTCCTCTTTTGTTTATTTTTTGTCTTTTATTTTTTCTACTTTTTTTGGCTCCTTTTTTCTGGCTTTTATTTCTTCTTTTATTTCTTCTATCTAATTGCTTATTTCTGTCTTCCATTTGTTCTTTTATTTCTTTCTTTGTGTATTTATATTTTTCTGTTCTTTATTTCCTTGCTTGTTTGTTTTTTATTTCTTTGTTGTTTATCTTTTTAATTTTTGTCGTGTTGTTCTTTTTTGATTTGTTGATTTGTTTATTTGTCTTTTTGTTTTCCATTTTATTATTATTTTTATCTGTTCTTTTACTTTTCACTTGTCATTTATTCCCTCATTTCGCCTTTCTTATTTGTTGCGTATTTATATATGTGTTTATTTATTTATTTATTTATTTATTATTTTGTTTTACTTTCAGCGGCCTGCGATTTCTTCGTATCTCATTCACTTCTTTATTACTTATTATTTATTTAATTTTCTTATTGATTTGCTACTTACTTTCTAGTGATTTATTTATTTATTTATTTATTTATTTATTCAATCATCTTTTTATCTGTTTATTATTTATTTGTTTATTTATTTACTTACATTTAGTTAGCTAATTTATTTTGTCTATTTATTTTTCAACCATCTATTTATCTGTTAATTAATTAATTAATTTATTTATTTATTAACATTCAATTAATTTTTTAATTTACTTATTTATTACTCTCCGTTCCCACTCACACGGTGTATGTACACCTGAGCACGCGCATGCACGTGAAGACAAAACATTAATTTCGAATTCATTTTTTGTGAAATTTGATTTTATTTTTTGGACTTTTGAAATTAAATTGAATACCTTTTTGAGTATACCTTTTTTGTTTTGCAGTTTATTGAAAAATCTCTTATTTTCTATTTCCTATTTTTTTATTTTTTCAAATTTCGCCAAGTCGAGAATGCCTTTGGAGTTGCATTAAATCCTTTTTCTTTTTATGCTCCACTCTGCAAATTATTTCATCTTTTATTTTCAATTTCAGGTTCGAGCAAGGGTTTAGAGTTTAGGGTTTAGGGTTTAGGGTTTGTTGTTTGCGGCGCAGCTGCGGCGTCCCTAGTGCTGCGGGACCTGTCGGATATTGCTGCTGCTTGTCTTGCTGCTGAGCGGCAGCAGTTTGTTGCTGCTGCTGCTGTGCTGCTGCTGCTGCGGCTGCTGCTGCCAGGAGAGACACAAAAGGAGAAAACAACAGCAGCAAAAAGAGAAAAACAGAATATCATTTTAAATCTTTTTGGAAGCAAAACCCCTTTGCTGCAGTGGCTGCTGGGGGGCCCCGGGGCCTTTGCAGTGCATCGCTACGGGGGCCCCTCGCTGCAGCAGCAGCTGCAGCACCACCTGCAGCAGCTGCAGCAGCAGCTGCAGCAGCTGCAGCAGCAGCAGCAGGAAGGCGCAGCAGCGGCGGGGAAGAAGACACGCAAGGGACGGGGAAAAGAGACAAAGGAAATAAAAGAAATAAAAAAAGAAATTGAAATTGCAAAAGCTCTTTTGAAAAATCCGGAAAATATTTCTTTTGAACTTGAGAAACATTTTGCTGCTGAGGAGTTCTACAGTCTGTACACCCGAGATGACGCAGCAGTGCGAGCAGCAGCAGCAGCAGCAGCAGCAGCAGGCGCCGATGCAGCAGCAGCAGCAGCAACAAAAGACGCTCTAGAGCGAGCAGCAGCGCATGCAGAGACTTTCAGGGCCTGCAGCAAAAAGGGGCAGCAGCTGCTGCTGTTGCTGCAGCAGTGGCTCGGAGATGCAGCAGCAGCAGCAGATTTGCTGCTGCTGGAAGCAGAAAAAGATAAAAAAATCAACAAAGACACGAAACAGCTAATCTGGAGAATCGTCAAAGGTGCAAACCCTAAACCCTAAACCCTCAGGGCTGCGCCCTAAACCCTTGCTTCTGATCTCCAGACCCTTGGCTTTGGCGCCCTAAACCCTAAAGTCTTGATTCCAAACCCTAAACCCTTGTTAGTAAACCCCAAACCCTAAACCCTTGTTAGTAAACCCCAAACCCTAAACCCTCGACTTCCAAGGCTACACCCTAAACCCTAATTGTGGTTTCCTGCTGCACTGTTGCTGCGGCTTAGCGAGATACGAAAAAGGGAAAGGAGACACTTTGAACAAGGTAAACCAAACCTTAAACCCTAAACCCTTAAATCCCTGTTTCTGAAACCCTAATCAGAGCTTTTAAGCTCTACTTGGAAACCCTAGACCCTAGTCCAGGCTTTGAACCCTAAAACCCTAGCTAGCAAACCCTGAACCCTTACACTCTAGTAAACCCTAAACCCTAAACCTTTATCTTGAGGGTCTGGTCGCCCGCGACCACTAGTTAAAACCCTAGGACCCCAAACGCTGAACTCCAAACCCTAAACCCTAAACCCTAAACCCTTTTTGCGCGCAGCTGGCTAAAAAGCTCTACCGGTTCTCCGTAGGGTTTAGGGAAACAAAATCTGAAAAAAGAAAAGAAGAATTAACTGCTGCTGCTGCTGCTGCATGCAAAAGCTTCAAAGCCCCGCCGCCTTCTGTTGAGGACTTGTTTGTGGGCAACTACGAGCTCTACCACAGAGTACTTTCGCAGTGTGCGCAAACCCTAAACCCTAAACCCTAAACTCTAAACTCTAAACTCTAAACCCTAATTCCGAGGGGCTGCGGGCGGTTTCTGCAGACGAAAAGGAGAAGGCGGCGGAGCAGCAGCACAAGGACTACTTCGAAACCCTGGTAGACGTTGGTGAGCCCCTAAACCCTAAACCCTAAGCCCTGATCACTAAACCCTAAACCCTAATTTAGGGTTTTGCTCCGCCTGCGATGTGCGCGCAGCCATCGAGAAAGTGTATCCATTCGATGTAGAAAAAGCCACAAGTGAGTTTAGGCCTTACTGCTGCTTCGCTTGCTGCTGCGCATATTCACTCATCTAGGGTTCAGGGTTTAGGGTTTAGGGTTTTGGGTTTGAGGTTTTTTTCGGTCCTGCGGGCCCTAAGCGTCACTTATTTTCCGACGTGCTCAGCCAAAGCGGAGCAGCTGCGTTTAGGGTTTAGGGTTTAGGGTTTAGGGCTTGCATGTTGCTGCAGCCGCACTGGAGCAGCTTATGAAGAGAGCCCGATTGGGGGTTTCGAAGGAAGGCAAGTGGCACCTCAAAACCCTGAAGATGATGCCCGAAACCCTAAACCCTAAACCCTGGAGAGAAGCGGCGCTGCAAACCCCCGGAGTGAAGGCGGAAAAGAAAATAAAAAAGTACCGTTCTGTGGCAGTTGCTGACTGAGCCAAAATTCATTTATGTATTTTCCATTATTTATTTATTTATTATTATGTATTATTTATTATTGTTTATTATTTATTATTTCTCTTTTATTCATCTTTCGTCTGAAGGAGCCGCTGTAGGTTCGGCTGTACGTACACCTGAAATGCAAATACTCACGAGGCTTTGTTAGAGGCGCGCATGCAAATAAACTTGAAAATAAACAATAAACAATTAATAAATTAGATATTAAATGCTTTTAGTTTCGTTTTTTTTCAAATGAAATGGAGAAGAAAACATCGAGCCGTTGCGCCGCTGCGATGTCTAGACACCCGCTCCAGGTGTATGCGCAGGTCTTCTTGCGGCTCTGAGTCTAGTTCCAAGGGGAAATAGGCTCAAAAAAGAAAATTAAGAATTTAGAAACATTTTATTTTAAAATAATAATGCATTTGAGTTGCACTTTTTAAAAACAATTGTTTAATTGCATCCATTTTCTGCGGCCCAAGAGGCCAGTGCCCTTTGGGGTTCAGGTGTACGTGCACCGCAAACCCTCGGCAACAAAAAAACGAGGGTTTAGGGTTTAGGGTTTTGAGTCTGCTGAGACGAAGGAACACAAAGCAGCTTTTGAGTTATTATTCGGAATTATTCTTATTTGATTTTGAGAACTAAAATGAACATTAAAAAAAGATGCAAATGTGCTGCTAAAAAGCTAATAATCAGTTGCTGAAAAAATGCAAAATAGATGCCAATTATATTCTCAAAAATGAAAAATAAAATTTTGAAAAGCTGCGAAGTAAACCACTAAAAGTATTTCTAAAAACTGCAGAATAAACTCCCGAAAGAATTCTACAAATATTCTAAGAAGCTGTCAAATAAACGTCCAAAAAGGGACTCTAAAAAGATCTTAAAAAGCAGCAGCTAAAATTCTAAAAAGATCCAAAAACGTTGCCAAATAAATTTTTGAGGAAGATTCTAAAAACATTTTAAATAAACTTTTAGAAACAATTTAAATAAACTTTTAACAAGATTCTAAATAAACTTTTAACAAGATTTTAAATAAAATTTTAAAAGGATTTAAAATAAACTCTTAAAAAGATGTAAAATAAACTCATAAAAAGATTTAAAATGAACTTTAAAAATGATTCTGAAAAGTTGGAAAAGACGAAAAAGGCGGAAGCGCTTTAAAGAGCCTCAAGAGCCTGCGGTGTATGTACACCGCAGTGGGCCCACAGCTCAAAACTAAATTAAAAATGAATTTTAAATAAATGAATTTCTTTTATATTTATTTTTAAAGAATAAAACTTCCCAAAATTAATCCACTACTCATCTTCGCGGGCAACTCCACGCGAAGCCAAACCAATGCATGCAGCGAAGAGCTGCTGCTGCCGCTGCGCTGCTGCCGCTGCGCTGCTGCTGCTGCTGCGCTGCTTGTGCTACACTGCTGCTGCTGCTGCGCTGCCTGTGCTACACTGCTGCTGCTGCTGCGCTGCCTGTGCTACACTGCTGCTGCTGCTGCGCTGCTTCTGCTATGCTGCAGCCGCTTCTGCTACGCTGCAGCTGCTGCTGCGCTGCTGCTGCTGCTGCGCTGCTGCTGCTGCTGCGCTGCTGCTGCTGCTGAGCCCGCCCAACAAAAGAAGTTGGGGTGTATTTGCATGCATTTGCGAGACGCGGAAGTGTAGTCTGTGTTGGGGTGTACATACACCTCAAAACAACCCCTTTGGAGTAAATTGCGGATTTACAAAAAGCACTTTTTGCTTTTTGCTGCTCTCTTCACACAGCCCAAACCGCCTGCTGCTGCTGCTGCGCTGCTGCTGCTGCTGCTGCTGCGGCCGTTGTGCTCCTGCTGCAGCGGCTGCTGTCCTGCTGCTGCTGCAGTTGCTGCTGTTGCGCTGCTGGTGCAGTTCCTGCTGCTGCTGCTGTGGCGCCGCTGCTGCTTTCATGCTGCTGCTGCTGCTGCTGCTGCTTCAGAGAAATGCCTTCACCAATTGCTGCGGTGTATGTACACCTTCCTCTAAACGAGGGGCCCCTCCAGGGGCCCCCAGGGGGTCCCCGGGGGCCCCCCGGGGGGCCCCCGGGGGGCCCCAAGGGGGG